AAGGAAAGATACATATAATTTATATAGAAACTCTGCAAATTGACCTTGGATTCATTATTATAACTGATAGTATAATTAATAATATAATTATAGTGTATTTAATAGGTATTATTATAAGTGCGTAAATATTTATAATGAATAATATAACAAACGACGCAATTCCACATCCTAACTATACACACATATGGGGAAAATACGTCGTGCACGATACGCTAATACATTGTCAATCGCTGAGAAATTTTTTATAAAATTACAAACTATGGTCATCGCACTCAATGTCTTTCACCCACTCAAGTAGCACCTGGGCACGTGAGTGAGATCCTGACAATGAACACGGAAGGGATTAAATCTGAAAATCCTGAACTAAAAGAATGATTAGTTTATATAATTTGTATCTAACGGACTGTTGCATTATTTTATTTCAAATTGTAATGACACTACTCTTTTAGAGATTATTGCAATTGCAATAGAATAAAGACAAAGAATTGTATTTATTAAAAAAGATATGAAATCAATCATAACAAATGACTAAAACAATCAAAATTAAACAATTAACTCTAAATTAAATATTAGTAAAAACAATTTCAGGCGATTTCTTTATCAAAGCACATTTTCGAAAATGTGAAAGCAATTTTCAAATTTGTTGCCTTGATTCAAAAATCTACCTGTCGCGAAGTATCTTCTTGCACATAAAATTTCATATATTTTTCTACGGAATGAATTTCAATCTATTATATATTTCAAATTGTTTTGAATATATTGTATATTATATATATTTTTTATTATATATATTATATTTTTTTGTTATATATATTATATATTTCAATTATATTGTATCGAAAATTATAAAATTTAGTAAATTACATCATTCAATACTACTATAAAAGGGAGAAGTTGGAAATTATCAATTATTATAACAAAACTATCTTCAGTATCAATAAATAATAACTTTCATAGCATCTTTTATAGCAATGAAGTCGGAGGATATCCGTCTTCTCTACTACAAAATGCTCAAACGAAATCATTTTAATAATAATTATTTATAATTTATCTATTCATATGGATATTTATAGAATATTTTGCTTTTGCAAATATTTATATTGAATATATTTTGATTTTACAAATATTTACTGTATATATATATTCAAACTAATTGTTAAAATCGCGATGTGCAAGAAGCCCTATCCTGATCTAATACATAAAAAACCTGAAAAAGATGTTACTACTCATGGATATAAAAAATCACTATGCTCATTAAAAATTCTACGTATACAACCAATCACCCGTGCCGATTCGGACCTTTCATCCTACGACATGGTTGAGTGACCGGAGGAACATAAATGCATGCGACTCACAGGATAGATGCGAAGAACGTTATTATAGATGCTGCACTGGAGCAGGGAAAATTATCATGAAGACCCTCATCAAGTAGACTACTGAGAATCCCATAGTGAAAGTGAACGCCGTGAAAAATTTCTTAAAAAACATAAAGACACAGTGTTATTTGTGAAAATTCAAATTTTAATAATGATAAAAAATTGGGATTCTAATAATTTAAAACGTTTTTATTTTATAGTTGTAATTTTACATTAGACTTCAATGAAAAGAGAACTATAGAAAATAGAATTAATTCAAGTACAATGTGCTAAAGTACTTACATTTTTAGCTTTTGAAGTATCGTAAGATTCTTGGAGGATAAGGGGAATTAGAGATTGTAGAGAATCTGTAACAAAACATAAAACATTAGAATTTTTTTTTATTTAAAAGCGAAGCAGAATCTTAAAATATATCAAAAAGTTGATGCTGAGGAGCGTCTGTAACGAAATGTCAAACATTGTACTTTGTTGTCAAATTTGAAAAATTGAGTAAATTAAAGTACATTATATAAAGTTACTTACGATCTTGATTTCCTGAAGAGGCCTTATCCTCTTGAGCACTAATATATCGAAAACGTTGAATAAGAATGTTGAATAAAAAAGAATATAAAAAAAGAAAAAGAAAAAACAATCCACAAGTATATCAAATAACAATCCACAGACACACTGACTCTAACTTTGCGAATTGTAATTTAAACGAATTTAATGAGAGCCATTTTGCTCAAAAAATATCAAAATATTACGCAATAAACACTGATTGTACCGATTGCGCGCGATCACAAAAATTTTTTGAAATAAATAATAAAGCTGATTAAAAAAGGAAGGGCAAAGAGTATGTTCATTCAGAAAACTGCTATTTTTCTAGAAAATAATTACAAACTTGAATATTTATTAAAGATATTAGTTGGAAATTATAAAATATATTTCAATATTTGCAGAAATATTTATAGAAGTTGTATTCTGAATGTTCATTATTAATGTGAAGTATGCACATTGGTAACATATCACGTTGTGTATTATAAATATTTGAAAATGCTTGCACAAATCAAAATTTCACAGCTAAATATATTTAAAAAATCATACATGTGTAAAATCTTGCTCTCAATCGTTTAATTGCATGTTCAAAGAAAATATATTGTAGCAAAGTATAGTAAAGTAAAGAAAACTTTCAATTTAATAATCTAATATAATAATATGTATATCCATTTGAAGGTATATACCATTGATTTAGTCTTTTCCTTGTACACAATATATAATTACAAAATTACGTATTCTGAATTGTATTTCAATGTATAATTGTATTGTATATATATATATATATATATATATATATATATATAATTATATAGCAAATGAATGAATAAAATTATACCTAGAATGAATAAAATGTTACCAACATTCCGTGAAAGTTCATCAGATTATTGATTAATGATCGTGGCGTTTGTGCTATCTTTGCAACCAAGGAATAACCTGCGCAAAAAGAAACCAAAAGTTAGAACAAATATATCAAATGAAGGCAAATATATAAAAGTGAAACGATAATCAACTTCAAATTCTATTACAAAAGCGTACGAGAATACAATTACCAAGGTACTGATAATCGAAAGAGTGAAATCGGTGATCGAAGAAAAATCAGCACGAAAAGGTTCAAAATCTTATTCGATTTCGTTGTCTTGATGCTCAATGAATCGTCAAACCCACGTGTATTAATTAAATAATACTATTAATAAAGTATAAATGGAAGTAAAAGAGTGCCAAAGAGACGCCATTGATAGATTAGAAAATGTTACGAACCTAATGTGATGTAATGCATGTTGTTGTCACGAAATTCGACAGCCAAATGACTCTCCGCCACACGTCTCATCCTTCAATTGAGAAAATAGGAGATGGGGTGATCCTGTCCGAACAAGCACCATAAGTAAGATGAACGTAAACATTGTGTTGGTGTTGTTGTTTTTACTTGGAATTTCGAGATTCAAGGCCTTTTACGTTTTACTTTACTTGGAAACTGAACAATTTCATTATATTACGCAGTAAAATTATTATTTAAAATGTATGTTTTCATTCAAAAATTCATAATACAAACACAAATCTAATAGCTGTTGATTTATATTTCTACCTGAAAACTCCTGGAACATACTTCTTTCTGGATGATTTTTCTGAATAACACTTCCTTCTTCCGCCATGTTTACCGCTTAAAAATCGATCGTGAGAAATATCGATCATTTCGATTGTCGTCGGGAGTATATTCAATATTTCACCGTTGAAGCGCTGCAATCGCACGTTCATTAACTAGGAAAAAAAATAAAAAAAAATTCTGTCCTAAATTAAGTAAACAAAATTCATGAGATATTCTTTAAAAAGAACGAAAATATTCATACGCTTTATGAAAAAAAAAATGTCAATACTTTAAACTGTGACATGAGAAATTTTATTATATTACGTAGTAGAATTATTATTTTAGCCATTATATACATACATCTTTAATAAATTATTTTTTAATTTAGTATTAGATTTGTTAAGAATCACTCAGTATGAAGTTAAAGAATCAACAAATGAATAGAAACTGTTACAGTAGAAGTAAAAGCATATTATGTATATATATAATAAAAAGATAGTCATATTACAAAGTCACAATATTTGTAATGGTTAGAATTAAAATTAAATTTTGGTACAAAATTATAAATAACTTTTAGCACAGTATGTTTTATTTAAATATTTATATGCTATTACTTTTTTAATTGTTGAAAATTATATGTAACAATTATTTGATTAAATCTTACCTTGAGTTGAAACCAAAAATGCACGTTTTATCTTAAAAATTCACAACACAAACAGAAATCTAACAACTATTGATTTAAATTTTTACCTGAGAATTTCCGGATAACATTTGGTTTTAGATAATTTTTCTCGACAAGACTTTCTTCTTTATAGACGAGGTGGAATTTCCTTCCGCCATTCTCTCTATCTCTTAAAAATCGATTACGAGAAATCGCTTACGTGAAAAATATCGATTACGTTCGAAAATCGTAGGAAGTGTGTTCCGTACTTTACCGTTAGCGCTATAACCTTTAATTAATTTAAATCCAATACACGGGCATTTTACACGAAACGTTAACTCAGAATAAAAAATAACAATATTAAAAATACATTTCAATCAATTTTTTTTAATACTTTTAGACAGATGTAAATAATTAAACATATAATAAGTTATTCATACCAATTTTCGTCAATTTCTGTTCCAAATCGTTATACAGTTTTATTGATAAAGTATTGCTATATTAAATTCAATAAATAATTCTCACAGCAGAACGTGTAACAACTGTCCATATTTTCTGATTTTCATTAGTAGTGTTGTTAAAACTTATAAAACTTGCTTAAATCGATACGATAAAATGTGCCATGAGAAGAGCAATGAGATCCTAGAATTCTATGAATATGAGACGAAAAAATACATTCCATGATAGTTCCATTCCTCTGTGATATCCTTTTTTTCTATACCCCATTTGAAGCGTAAAATGCACAAATATAATTTTTTTAAAATAATTAATGCTACTACCTTACCGACAGATGGCGCCACCAGATTCAAAATGGAGACACTATTAGTTCAATTATTTTGCTACAATGCGGCGTTAGTGTTTCTGATTGCCGTAAAGCAATCAAATTTTCATTTGCGAGAAAAACTATTTAAAAAGATTAATTCGTGAATTTTTATGATTCAACTCTTCTAATTAGATCTTTAACTCTTTTTTTATGTTCCATTTAAAGCGTCAAATGCTTACAAAAATTTATAAATTCTATTCAATACATCGAAGCACTCGCTCTAATAATACTTAATTTCTCATTAATTTACATTAAAAATGTGAATCAAAATTGTTTTTAAATATAGTTAGAAGTGCGTACAATAAATTTGATATATAATTTTGAATATGCGTCTTTATGTAATCGATTAATTGTTTACACATTCCATCATGCAATGAACTTATGCACTATTAATATATACCAAATTCATTTGTAGTTTATCATTGGATATAACAGAATACATGAAATTCAAGTTTATAATTATAATTTTATAAACATTTACAGTACATAAAACAATAATAATATATGTGCTTTTTTAAACTGGACATACTGAACAAAAACAAGCTTTTTATTTTGCAGTTATAGCAAGCATAGTAACCGTGAATGTATTGTAAAGTTAAATATTTAACTCATTAAATATTTAACTTTATCTGTAATTAGACTTAAAAATTCCTTTAACTTATGCAAATGGTATTTATTAGAATGATTCATTACAAATGCAGACAAGGTTTTTATCCATCAAGCAATGTAAAACGTTTCGAAGTACCTGAAAATAAAGTAGCATGGTACATTGAATATTCAGAATATAAACCAATTGAATATACCGCCCCGAATATTAAAAGAAAACCATGGGCCGATCCAGAGATCGGTGAAATTTCATTTAAACCAAATTGGAACACTATTGATGGTAAACAACACTGTGTGTAGAATATTATTTTCCATGAAATTTTGTAAATTCAGAATACTTAAGATTCATTGAAACTATTACATTGGCATTATATAACGTAGTTTAACTAACATATATTGCATTATAATATTTTTAAGCATATGTTAATTTGTTGCCAACAGGAAACGTGAATCGTAAGAGTTTCACAAGTGACTATGTTATAAATAAGAATGGTTATCCTTTAAACCCCATTGGTCGAACTGGTATCATTGGACGTGGACTTTTAGGACGATGGGGACCAAATCATGCAGCAGATCCAATTGTAACTCGTTGGAAACAAGATATTACAAGTGTTGCAGAAGTAAATAAAGATACAAAAAAGCCAATTTTACAATTTGTTGCTATACAAAGGCAAGATTCTGGAGAATGGGCTATTCCTGGTGGAATGGTTGATCCAGGTGAAACAATTTCAGCAACTTTAAAAAGAGAATTCATGGAAGAAGCTATGAATTCTCTGAAAAAAAATAAAACTGAAAGAGAAAAATTGGAAAAATCTATGAGGAAATTTTTTGAACGAGGAGAAGAAATTTACAAAGGATATGTAGACGATCCTCGAAACACAGACAATGCTTGGATGGAAACTGTAGCTTTAAATTTTCATGATCAGAATAACAGTGTTGTTGGAAATATAAAGTTAGTAGCTGGTGATGATGCACGCAATGTAAAATGGATGGATATTGATAGAAATCTAAATTTATATGCTAATCATAGTGAGTTTATTAAAAAAACAACAGTAAAACTTGATGCACATTGGTGAGGATTCTAAAAATCTAAATGAATAAAACATGTGTTTTCATTTTTTTATTGAACATTTCAAAAATTAAACACATTTGTATACATATAGAAAAACATGAATTTGTACACATCACTTTATACAATAAGAATGAAATTATATATTACAAAATGAAAATAATGGTAATTATCACAAGCTTATATTTGTTATGTCAATTATGTCTGTGTATCCCATAAGGTTGAATTAATTGATAATGTATTCTAAATACAATGCATGTATAATGATATATAATGTGTATGTTCATTACAGATAACAACATATTTTTTAAATTCTGATGAATTTGAATTACAATTTAAAAATCCATATCTTCATACTAATTTAAAATTAAAAAAAGATATTTGCTCATAAATATATAAATAATGTGAATTACAATTGATATAACACAAATGAAAAAATGCTCTTTTTTGATTGTACACATAAAACATGTTTATATAATTAAAATAATTTATATGTATTATGATACTGTAAAATCATAAAATTTTATTTTATGAATGTTTTAAAATAACTTTGAAGAAAATATATGAAATAAATATTTTTGTAAAAATACTTTATATTCTAAATAGATCCTGTCATATTTGTAATTTCAATTTTTATTTTTTATCTTAATAATTTATAATATAATTGACGTAAACATTATAAAAAATTCTATTGTATATCTCATATACAAGAAACATAATATCTCACTTCAACAGTTTTACGTTTTCATTTTCAATAATTCTACTATACTTTAACATGACATACTACAATTATTTGATTCCACAGAGACAGGTAATAGATTTGATTTACTTAATCCAAACATATTTAAAACTAATTCTACAGTATTTTTACATTTTACCATGCATTCTGTTTCCGATTGTGATACATTATTGTAATTAATCAGCTTTTTCAGAATATGATTCATATTCTGATTTCGCATATACTGTAAAATACCTTTATGTTCATCCGGAAGAATTGTATCAATTTCTTTTTGTTTAACTTGATAATGTTTCTCTAATTCTAATGCATGCTGAGCTTGGCTTTGTCCTAACTTTGCTGCTTTAATAAAATAATTACGAGCTTTATCAATGTCTACTGTAAAGTCACCTCTGCCTTGAGCATAAAAAACTCCCAAATTATATGTAGCATCTGCATGACCTTGTTTTGCTGCATCGTTATAATATTTTGCAGCCTAGAAAAAAAATTATAAACTTTAAGAAAAAGTAGAATGTTTTATTTCTAATACGGACCTAAATTTTCATAATAAAATATGTGTGTTATTATCACATATCATACCTGTCTGTGATCAACTAATGTTCCAAGTCCTAATTCATGACACAGACCTAAATTGAACATACTAGCAGCAGATGATAGACTTGCACCGATAGTAAAATGTTTTATAGCATCTTTATAACGTTTCTCTTCTAAAGCTTTCAAGCCATAGTGAAGTTCAAATTCAGCTACAGCTAATTTATGGGTATTGGCAAATTTCTCGGTAGCTTCTTTCAACGCCTGAGAATATACAAGAATCATGTATTAATATTAATATATATTAACTTTATTTTGAAACTTTCTATAGAAAAAATATTTTTCTTTAATTTTAGACATTCTTACAATCAGATTAATAATAATTGAGTAATAGTTCTTAACTGATCATATAATGTTTCATTTTTGGATGTTTAATAATATATTTATCTGCATAAAACTAAAATTAAAATAAAATTATAATTATGGCCAATAAATTTTATAACAATTTATTTATCTTTACAATAAACTTCAATACCAAGAGATTTATTTTGGAGAGGAGATGCAATAAAAAGTTTTTAAATTCTTATATCATTTATGTTTTTTTATAACTTTACATAACATATTATTAAACAATGGTTTACAACTAAATACTTAAAATAAAAAATTATTTATTAAATCACTTATTATTAATGTTCAAAATAATTATAATGAAATCAGTAGTAAAATTACTACAATGAAATGTAATGAAACATATTTAATACTAAATAATCAATTAAAGTTTAATTATAAAATGAATTAGATATAGTTATAGATAGATTACAAGATATGATATAATATCTTTTTAATTATTGATGTAATTAAAAAATATTAACTATATTATAAATTTTTATATTATAAACTTTTTTTTATAAATTATAATGTCTACAAAATAACATTGTCACCTCTTCAATGGTAATAGGTCCAAATGGTTTTTCTGATTTCCATTCTGCTTCATCATTTTCTTGGGCATATATTTTATTATTACCAATACAATTAATAATAGGTAAAAGTTTTGGCCTTAAATTTCGTACTTGATCAATTAAGTAAGAAGTATGTGGAACTTGTAATAGTTTATTTTTTAAGGAATCAGTTTTCTTTTTCTCAAAAAATCTGCGAAGGCATAATGTTTGGCATACCACCCATCCAAGAGCCAATGCACTTGTCTATAAAAAAAATTATCACATTATATATTAAATAAAATGGAATTAATTTTATTTTCTATTAACATAAATATGAACTGATATAAAATTAAAATTTTGAATGTAATTTCTGTGAAAGCCAATTTTGTGAAAGACAAATACACAGTAAAGGAAGAAAAGAAAGAAAACAAGTAAAATTTTAAATACGTAATTTGAAAAACATTTGCGTTGAATATTATGAATAAGAAAAGATAACAGATAAGAAAGATAAACATAACGGCGCAATTTACCACTCCTATGGCTTCTGACCAAGTATATTTTGTATTCCATTTGGAATCATGATCTTTGTCCTTGGTACCACTTGTTTTTGTCGAACCAAAAAATTCTTTATTAAAAACAGAGAAAGTTGGTGGTAAGAACTTATGATTACATGTTAAACTAGTTTTAACCTCATTTTTTGTATTAGGTTCTTGAGACGTTTGATAATAAACGTTTGTACGACATGCACGGCGTTCCAAAGTTTCACGAATACCGCGAGCTACTAATTTCCACATCTTTCTAATTGATTATGATACAGCAAATATTAAAATTAAAAAAAATTTTTTATTTTAACCACTTCCAATTACATATACCTGCACCGCATGAAGGAAAGCAGTGCACTATTAAAAAATTGACAGCTGAATCGATTGGGCGCGCGCACTACTCTAAATGCATTTTAGACGTAAATTTATATATACATGCATATATAATTTTACATGCAATATTATAGTATTTGTTTAAATATAAACGAATAACTGTTTTCTTTTGTTCTTGCTAGAATTAAATATTAATAAAGTATAAGTAGAAAAGTCAAATTACATGTAAATGTTCATTTTCGTGTATTTAAAAAAATAATTAATGACAAAATGAAAATGACAAAAAGAAAAATGAAACAAGAAAAAAAAGTAATTCTGAGAGTATTAGATAGTAATTCTGTATGTAATTATATTCGCTATACGATAAAACAATAAGAGCTCTGTTGGATGAATATATAAAAGCGAAATGAAAACAATAGGCAAAATAATAATGTTGATGTTTGCGAATATTATAAGTTAAGCAATATAACTGGTTTTCAAAAGATAAGACAATCCATAGTGAAATTTGTTTAGTTGAAACTTGATGAATAATTAATGTTTGCAGATTTTCAAGGTTGATTTTCTCAGAAACGAACATTTTATTCTTTCATTTCAACTTACGTAGAATAAACTTCAATCACTTGTACCACCAGTTGCTGAATCCTTTATATAATAATGTTTGTTATGTTTATAAAAGATTATATATTTTTGTTCGAAACAAAAATGTATTTGAAGTAAAAATATTTATATTATTATTTATATTACTGTATATTTTATTTATCATACAATAATTTCATAACTCATATAATTTATATATAGTATGAATATTTTAGTTATTAAATTTGAAAAGTAAATAATATGGGAATGGTCAAAAAGGACAGAATTAGAAAGACACAAAAGAAATATATAAAATAAAATAAATAAATTATGAATACCGGATTACATAGTGCGGGAATAATAATTTAAAATAAAAAAGAAGGAAAATTAAAAATAAAAATGGCAGGATTATAAAAAAAAAATAGTGAAAACAAAGAGACACATAGTGAAAAAATGTTTAGAAGAAAGCTGAGAGAGAAAAATAAGGACGAGTTCAAAGAAAGAATGGATTATTTCAAGAAATATGGATACAGTCAAAAATAAATGGGCTAAGAAAAGAAAGTTAAAGGAAAATTGAGAGAAGTACTAAAAAAAAGACAATGGAACAAAATACAAAAAAAATCAGAATTAGGAAGGCAAACAAAGAATATTAAGGACAAGAGTGTAAAAAAAAATAAATAAATAGAACACTTAAGCAAAACAGAGTTAACAGTAGAAGATATTGGAGGAGAAAGGAGCAAAAAAGACATGCATTGTAATGAAACAAATGTAGAAAAAGAAAGAAAAAGGTGCAACAATGTAAAATAGGATATTAATGTAAATAGAGAGAAATAAGGATATTAGCTAAGGATATTAATGTAAATAGAGAGAAAAGTACAAAGTTTAAAGAGGAGATAGTATTTTAGTAAATAAGCTAAAATGTATATTTTATTATACAGTATTTTATTATATATTGTTGTAAAGAATTGTAAACCAAAGCTGTCAGACCAAAATAAAATGTTTATCTATCTATCTTTAAAAACTAAATGCTTCATAAATATTTGCTCCAAGTGTCTTAAGTTCATCATTTGTTATAAGACGCTGTAACAAATCGCTTTGAAAATCTTTTAATGTTGTTTTATCTGGTACTTGTCCATTTATAATAGGTATTATTTTAGCCATTGGCATAGATACCTTATTAATATTTATAAATGCACTTGAATCATATTTTGTGTTTATGCTTGTCTGATTTGACGTTCCTGGTACTGATATACCATTTTCAATAGATTTACCATTTTCTATTACAGGGGAAATAACAAAGAATGCAGAAATATGGTCCACTAGTAAGCTAAATCCGCCTCTAATATTACTTTGTGTCAAATTTTGTACTTCTTCACTTTCTAGTAGATCCAATGTCTCATTGAATAATTTTAATAATACAGGTGTTTTTTCTTCCTCACAATTTGGTAATAACATATATTCGGCAAGATTTTTTACAGGGTCTTTTGAACTATCTGTAGATATAGAAGATGTTAAGGCCCAATATATTTCTTCTATATCTTTTAAAGTCAATTCATCTTTCAAAGAAATTGATGCTGTTATTTCTGCCACTTTACTTTTTATAAGTGAAGTCAATTTTTTAATTTCTTCATATATAAAGTGACGTGAAATTGACATGTATTTTGTTTGTATGATATTTTCTGTAGCTGTGCCATTGGAATTTTGAATATCTTTGTATACATGACCACCTATTATATTAAATTGAATTCTTATTAACGTTGCTAACATCGCATATGAATATACTACCACAGCAGATCTGGTAATTGCTAAAATTTTCAACTCATTCCAACATGCTATTTTATCAGGACAACCACTTCTAAGTTTGTTCACAACAGCTTCAGTATCCACAACATTTATTATGGAATCTCTTAAAGTTGCTATAAGAGACATTATCATTTGACTGCAAGTTCTTTCATTGCAATCAAAATATTGTCGTCGTTTAGATTTGTCCAACATGTCTTTTATTTCTTTTTCTTGCCACTCTCGAAGCCTACGTGCTGTATATCTAATAAAAACAATAGTACTAACAATAATGCCGCCCACTATAAACTTTCGTCTATGACGGCTCACAAATTCACGAAGACTTGATGAAAACATTTTTATCTTATCAAAATCTTCCTAACGTCTTAGCTTCCAACGTTATTACAGGACTTGCGCGTACTAATTCCACTATCTCATTCCAATTCCAATTCCAATGTCTCTCTCTGCAACCGGTTACCATGATGAGAGATAGTGGCTCCATCTAGTGCTACAATCCGTGTCATTCAATAAATACAAGCACAGACGAGGTATATGACGAAGTTCATGTGCCTTGTCTGTGATACAAGTTTCATAACTTCAATCTCCAACGACTGCAGTGGCTGCAACAGCTCACCGATAAATCAATGGTATCGTTAAAGATGTTCATCATTAGCACAATTTGCAATCCCCTCTCTAAAATGGTGCCCACTTTTGAGTTCCTTATCCAAGCATCTGGAGTAAGAGTACCATCAGCCCAGTCCCACTGATGAGTCTGACTGGTGGCTCTGAGAGGAAACTCTGAGAGCAAACTCCACGATTATTATGCAACTATTTCCCTTCCCCCACGATTCTCCTCCTCAACGTTCACCGTTTTCTAGCTAACGTGACAAAATGCAAATGTAAATTATGAACTTTACAAGTTACAAAGTACTATTTACATAAACGAAATATATATAGTGACAACTACACGACTGAGAACCATTATGTGTAGGTATACTTAAATGGCTGTTTTCAAGGAAAGATGTAGAATGACGTTGATAAAGTCGAGGAACGGTTATAAATGATATAGAAGGTAGAGTGTCTTTCGTCTCAGAGTCGTTGCCAGACTCATCAATGAGGCTGATTGCGGCGACCCCTACCCAGATGATCGGTTCATCAGAAATCTCTAGGTTGGACATGAAGACAATCATCCATCTTAGAAGTGTTCTGCAGGCTTTACGCTTAACCTGAAGCATAGACCTCGTCTGTGCCTCAAGATCGCACTCGATCTGTAGGTAGGCGGCAACCACTTGGGGCTAGTGATGAACTTTGGAACTAAGGAAAGACTGGATGTGCTAGCCACTACAGGAATGAAGGGTTTGAAATGGCTATGATAATGCGAGGATAATGTAGGAAGTGATGATGTGGGTAAGGTGAGGAAAGGTTGTGCGTTTCGTCTCAGAGTCGCTGCCTAGACTCATCAGTGGGGCTGATGGCAGCGACTCCTTACCCCAGACGCTTGTTGTTGTAACTATTCGCTAGGATGGTCCACCCATCCTAGCGGTTCCGCACTCTGTTTGCTTAACATCGAATATCGGTTGACTTCGACGCTAGGCGCACAGCCACTTGCGGCTTGTACAAGTTGGTGTTCGAAACTCGTACTCGAGGAACTATAGGTCGCTACAGGAACTAATATGCTAGCGTCGCACAGCGGTTAAACGGTGGAACTAATTTATGTTCCTATCTTTGTCTCACCCTATCGCCCTCCTTGTTTACCGAATATAGTCTATCCTTGTCACCGCGTCAATGTGTCCTTGTCGCTTTCCTTGTCTAATGACACTAGACAAGAAAAGCAATAGTGTGCGACAATAATTTTAAGGAAGCATATTAAAAGTTCGCATATTATTCCCCTTAATTAGATTTTTTCATAATTAGTGCGAACTGTCATAAAATGATGACGCCATCTAGCGGTAACACAGTGGTACTAATTATTTATAAAAATACCTATTTCGGGTATTTTACGGGTCAAATGGGATATGAAAAAAAAGCTAAAGATCTAATTAAGGTAATACAATCACAAAAGTTCAGAATTCATTTCGCTAAATTAGGTGTTTCGCAAATGAAAATTTTTCTGTTTTACGGGATTGTAGTAATTATGATGATAAATAAATTAATATCAAATTATAAATAAATAATAACTCTGTAATTAATTTTAGTAGTCCGTATAAAAATATTATCGATGTAACAAAATGTATAATTACTAATGAATAAATATCAAATAACGAAGATTAAATAATGAAAGTTAAATAATGAATAATGATGATTGCAGTATATATAAGTTTCTGTAAATATTTCCATGATGACAATAAAATCACTAACAATTTTTAAATATTCTATTGTTTATACACATCTCGACAAACAATTCAACGAACGCAGATGTTGTTGATCCAAATTCTTCGAAGTAGAGGACGCTACACTAATGTAGCGACCGTTACCATGTCAAAATTGAAGTCGCGCCATCTGCAACAAAACAATCGTTCTGCCGAAAAGTACATTTCCTGTAAACCGACATCGCCAACTGTATATAAACACTCTTAATATAAGAACATTTATAAATTGTTATTTTATTTTTATTATTACCATGTTTACTTATTTATAGAAATGTATATATAGACCCTATTTTATAATTTGTTATTCATTCCTTAATTAACATTCAGAGAAAACAATTATCTATTTGTGCTATAAACATTATTGTTATTTAAATATTTATCATAATTTATTAAAAGTTACTAAAGTTACGAAGTTTTTCTTATTTATTTATAGCATTATGATATTATCATCATAATCACTACTGGGTAATAAACACTAGCACTACGTTGTGGTGAAATGGAGGAACTAAACGATTTATATTCACAAACTATAAAATGTAATTCAAATAAATAGACTTTAATTTAACGAATAATTTAATATATTTTATCAATTACTATATAATTTTATATCGTTTTAAAGAGAGAAAAAATAAAAATATTTAAATTTATAACTTAAAGTTTACATATAGAAATCGTTTAGTTTTTAAACAAGACATTATAATAACTTTAATGGTATATTTATTATGTATTTAAAAATAGAAAGGTATTGATTCAGCTGTTTTACTGAGTAATGCTTTCAACCTCATAAAAATGTGTGTATGTATGCAATTAAATTTAAGAAAAACTAACGGAATGTGGTAGACGTATTATACATCATTTTGTTTCAAGATTATCTGTATTTATAAATTATATAAAATATATACTAAAAGAAGACTGACAGACTTTTATAATTTTTGTTGATGCGCAGTCCTGTGCCGGGGTCATTTCTGACTCACACGGATATTCCACTAAACTAGACATATTTATGGTTGCTCGAAGGTCGAGCACACGTGTATATATCAACACGTTAACGGTCGCTCGAGACTCGAGGTTCCCACAAACATTACACGCCTAGTACGCTGAGTGTTGCTCAGGATTCATCGCTGTATGTGCGTATTGTGTGCAATGTTCGCATTTTAGATATAAATATAATAGCTGAAAATATAATATATAACAGCGTCGTGATTTATAAAAACATAATATTTATTTCGTTGTGATACCTTACATTGTTGTGATAATCTTCCACAAGAAAAAAGCAAGGTTCGTTTGCTTGTTGCGCGGACATCAAACAAATAAATAAATAACAAATAAATAAATAAATAAAAACAATGAAAATAACAATGATAACTGTTGCCGAGTGGATAGAGCGTGTACTTTGTTCGAATGTTGTCTGAAGCAGACTGGCGAGTAGAAACTATATAAACTTGAGGCTATATTTTCCTATTTGTCGTTAAGTGTAAAACTAATTGTATTATTAATTTACATCTATATAAATGTATCTATCTGCAGAACAGAGAGTGAAAAGAAAAATACTGAATATAGAGTTACTGCTACTAATACTACTGTTAATACTAGTGCGTTGATATTACTGCTGCTTCTAAGTCTTAATTTTAAATATTTAAATATGTATAGCGACGCCGTTTCATTACTAATGGACTTACAGGGTCAGTTAATGGTCGTTTCTCAACTTTCGGTAAACTCGATTTATATTTAGGAATCGGTTGGGCTTTATGAACAGTTTTTTTTCTTAGCAGAGCAATTTCTTCCTCTTCTTGCTTTTTTTTAGCAGCAATTTCCTATTACCAGCAATTACATGGTATGTATTATAATTTCAAAAATTGAATATTATTAAAATGAAAATCACAGATCACTTTTACCATTTGTCTTTTTTCTTCTCTCAGTCTTTCTTTTTCTTTCACAGTGTCATCAAACTGTTTTCTTTCTTGAGCTCGAATCATTGTATGCAAAGGTGGGGTTTTTGGCAATTGCAATTTTTTTTTCGCCAAACGTGGTACAAATGGTGGTTTCTTCCACACCTGGTTTATAAGATATTTATTATTTATTAATATTAGATATGGATTGATTAAAATATGTACGTAGTTTATCTTAGACAAAGTTTGTATAAGAATATACACTTACTTCGATATTCTTTTTACTTTGCTTGTCGCAATTATCAGATTGTTGTACTTTTTGATTTAAGTTATTACTCGTTGGCTTATTTTTGTCATTTATTAGTTTATTTTGTTCGTTTTTCTTCTCATTGTTACTACGACGATTATTAATAGTTTTAGTTCGAGATTTTATAAAGTTAGGCACTGGATTTGCCCGAAATATTCTCACTTTAGTCTCTTCTTCTACTAACTAAGAATAATAGAAAAGAAATACAATATCTACCTTAACAATAATTTGTAAAATTAGAAGACATGATTTTCATACTTTTTTAAGATGTTCTTGCTTTTGCTTTTGTTTTTGTTGGTCCCGTAAATCGAAAGCGAATGGATATACTTCGGTTTTCTGCGGCTTTTTCACTTTATTACAAATTTTAGTGTTAATTTCAGGTTCCTGAAATGTTCCGTTTTTTTACAAATCAATCATAGTACTGACAATGTATTTAAATTGACATACCAGTTTAATATCATTACTATAAACTACATATTCTTCTATTTCCTGTTTCTGTAAATTATCGTTTACGCATGTTGTTTCATCATTAGCATCATCATATTCTATACTGGACAAAGAGAGATTATCGAAACATCTATAAAGAGATTAAATTTTTTATTATTAGATGAAAAGGAAATAGCTTGAGACTGATTTAAAGAAATTCACTGTTGTAATTCTTACGCAGTCAATGTATTGTCATCTGCAGTTGTATTTGGATATTCTGTGTTTGCAAAATTCAAATTTGGCGTGCTCACAACTACAGTGGATTTATCTGAAAATAACCATCGAGAAAAAATTAACATCAGACTTCATTTGGATATTATTCGATGTTTCTAATTGTACTTACTGAAAAACGAATCTCCTATATCTGGTGGATTCGTAAAATCTACAAATTGCGGAGATTCGATCACATCCCATATCTCATCTTTATTCGAATTCCTATACGTGTTCGAATCGGCAAATTCCGGTTTTTCATTTTTCGTCTGCCACAATTTTCGTGGTGGTACTTTTGAATTATCTTTTGTGTGTACGATCGGCGTCGATGTTTGTGGATGCTTTTTGTTCACTGATGCTGAAGATGCCATTATCTTTAATTCTAAGAGAATTCTTTTATAATTAACTAATTTTTAAAATTTCACATGAAATTTCAAATGAAATTCTCACTACACTCGATTTAGAAGTCGTTCATTTATGCTTTATTTTGAAACTAACAGATATTTCGCAACTGTAACACGTTTATATATAAACAAGTCAAATGGACGTGAAGGAAAGTCCTTAGACTTGAAGGAAATAACAGAATAACAATGATTTAAATTGTATATAATAACAAATATTGCTCCGCTTCGTGCTAAGATACACGAAGGAAGAAATTGAATTTTGCGATTATTCGTTGTACCAAGAAATAGATAATAAAAAGTAGTTTAGGCTCATAAAAAATATATTTTTTATTCATGCTAATAAATTGATTTATTTTCATTGATGATAAATTCAATAGACATGTCCTCATAATGATAGATAAATTATTTTAGGCTTGCTATAACGTAACAGCGTTTCTTTTTATATTGAATCTAGTCATTGATATTCCGAACGCATGAACATTTCTATATTTCTACAAACATTTACAACAAAGCACGAGTCACTAATATCGTTCTGTCGTTCAGCAAGTTTCTTTCTTTCACTCGAAAATTAGAATTGACACAGTGCTTATGCGGACTCGTTCGGAGAAAGAGTTCTTTTAAAAAATTCAACACATTAATGACAATATGACATTGATCTGTTACGCTGCACTATAGTACGGTGCATAGAATCCATATGGCAAACGTTTAGGTAGGAACACTAATGATGCCTTTTAATTAAAAATTACGATTTGTCTAAAACATTAAAAAGGATCTTCGAACATGCACGGTTTACGGTAAGAAAAAATACTTTTTAATTGTAAGTGCACCTAAATGCGACCAGAATATGCAAATTGAGGAAGATATTTCTTTTTCAATGTAGATAATTCGTTTTTTATTTTTTTACGCAATTTTCAGAGCCGATCATAACATTGGCGGTCTTGGAACCAGCCGATGGTTGAAAGTGCTTTGGGAACCAGTTTACATACACTTTACCAAATGCACTTGATATGCTTGATGTGAGCGCTGATGGAGATGCTAGATTAGTTTGTGTCGACTTACGGGACACTCAATGTCAATTCGCCTAAAGTAATGAAACAGAATTTCCTCTATTCTAATTTTTATCCGTTTATCACTGAATAATTGTTATCTTATTTTTAGATACGAGTTTACAAAGGAGGTGACCAGATAACAGAATATAACATGGTAGATCCACCCTGTGGAGTGGTTGATTTTTATACAGAGAATGGAGAACCTCAGTCGTCCGTTTTGGCGGTGGATGTTGGTTCTAGCGTCTACATCTTTAAAAATATGAGACCGTATTTTAAATACTGTTTGCCGCATACTGACGTACATCCAAAGGAACGAGAGGTATAAACAATTCTGAGTTATAATACTAAGTTTCATTTTCTTTTATTTTGAGTTATAAGAATAAATTTGTTAATAGATTTGACACAAACCTGGATTGAACGAAGAATTGAATGTATTAACACTAGCTGATGAACTAGATTTATTGTTAAAGGAACTTGGAGCGGGATTTATCTCGCCGCGAACATTGAAATTTCTGGATCCGAATTTGTACAGCTAGCTTTGCGGAGCAATACAAAAGAATCCCACTAGTTAAAAGCAACGCTTTAACTGCAATTTCCATGATTCGTGGAACGATCTAGCGAGTAGTTGTCTCGTGCTGGGCACGGAATTCGGAGAAGTACTTATTTTAGTTGCACGGTAAAACTTATTTCCTTGAAGACATAATTTTCTATATAAATAATTGAAAATTATGAAATTAAATGCTTCTTGCGATATATCTGTTTCAGAACGTTTTCAATTATCGATAAACATCTATTAGAATGGCCACCAGTCGCTTTTGCATGTTTATATACCGGTTTATATGCCGGCGATGGAAAAATATTAATTGTTGGAAGAGATGGTAAAATAGGAGTGATAAAAAGAGGAAGTTCTGTGAAACTTTGGGAAAAATTACCATCACCTGCTGTAGCTGTTTCGCCCCTGAATAATGAAGGCATCGCGGTTACTATCATGGATACTTCTAAAAAGAGAGAAGATAAAGTAAAAACAGCTCTTGCACAAATGGCTGGTCCAACTTTAATGGCTTCTCTCACAAGCGGCGCGGCTGGTGCTCTTATGTTACCTTCATGTGTATTGGCATATATTCAAATTGATATTTTTTTGTTACTCGTAATGAGTATAAGTTGGATATATGCTACATTTTTTTTGTGTCCAATATTAGCAATAAGAGGTCCATCATCTCAAGTTACTCAGTTTATCCCAAGTAAATAACGTAATTGTAATTACTTTATAACAAGTATCAGTTTTTAAACATTAATTGGACATTTACATGATAAACTTATACAGATTAAATCTATTGTGGAATTATCTCCGCAAAAACAAGTCTGGAAATGTGCCTCAGTCAAGTACAGATAATAGTAGGGCTAGAAAAAAGATTAAAGGAAAGGGAATGTGGTCAGAATCTATTGTAAGTACATCTAGTACAGTATGTATCAATTCCACTATAATGAAATAGAAAGTTTCACAAGACCACCGCCATCGCCATCATTACCTCCATCATTACCTCCATCTCCATCGTCAGCATTACTTCAGTAAATTGAAGATTAAGATTGAAGAATGAAGTGATAAGATGGGTATATTTTAGACAAAAAAAGAAAAAATTATGATGTAGTATATACACTTTCAAATTTTAAATCGATGAATTTACTTGTTCGTGTGTAACTTATGTCCTATATAATCTATAAACGTGTCTCACTAATGTGTCACTGGCTGTGTTCAAAATAGTTTTAAGATAATTATTTGTATATTCATTCAATGTCATTAATATTCATTGGGCTTCCTATCAGAAGCCTATCGTTACTCAGGTATATACACATTATATTCATTGTGATATGAATCAGGTTTTAAATGCCAAATATATCGCAGACTGTTTTATATTTTACGATCTATTCTGATTTCGGTTTTTAAAAAATTTTGAAAATACTCACATAATGTTCACAGACAACTTTAACTTCAATATACTTCTGACAATTGACTTCAGTATAGTTAAGGAGAAATTGAATACTATTCGATCTACTATGCAAAATTTAAAAATTTTTATTAATTCACCTGGAAGTGTAAATATAAAACATAAAATAAAAACTAGGTATCTTAAACAGCCGACACAACTTCAAAACTTGAAAAATGGTCCTCCTAATTACAGTCTTTTCACAATTATTGCAACTCTTCTCGTTTTGTAATGATTATGATGATAATATCATAATACTAATAAATAAGAACTTCGTAACTTTAGTAACTTTTAATAAATTGTAATAAATGATATTTAAATAACAATATATTAGATAAAGTTTATAGCACAAATAGATAACTGTTTTCTGTGAATGTTAATTAAGAATAACAAATTATAAAATGGGGTCTATATATACATCTCTATAAATAAATAAACATGGTAATAACATCTCCATAGTAATAATAAAAATAAATTAACAATTTATAAATATTTTTATGTTAGGAGTGTTTATTCACAGTTAGCGATGTCGGTGTATAGGAACGATTGTGGAGATAGCGCTGATGTTGAATTTTGAAGAGGTAAGCTACAGTTTTGTAGTAATTATGATGATAAATAAATTTATATCACAATACTACAAATAAATAATAACTCCGTAATTAATTTTAGTAGTTTATATAAAAATATTATCAATATAACAAAATATATAATTACTAATAATAAATATCAAATAACGAAGATTAAATAATGAAAGTAAAATAACGAATGAATAAATAATATGATGATTGCATATATAAGATTGCAAATATTTCATGGTGATAATAAAATTACTAACAATTTTTAAATATTCTATTGTTTATTTTAAATACACATCTCGACGGAACGAACATAGATGTTGTTGATATAAACTAATGAACATAGATGTGAACATAGATGATTGTTGATCTAAATTTTTCGAAGTAGAAGTCGCTACACTAATGTCGCGACAGCGCCAGCCTTCCTTAACGACAAATGCGAGGCGCTACTCTTCTTTACCGACCGGGGCGATCTGAATTCTATCTTGATCTTTCGGTTTCAACAGTTCATTATATGGAGTATCAGAGAGAAAGTAAAGAATGTAGTTATATATCGCGTAATAAAGATTTTCAAAAAACGGAAAAAGTTGTATTCGTCCCGGTTTATCCTCCTATTACCATCAGTAAGCAAAAAGGCCATGCTAAACATTGACAGATGAATTTTTCCACAAATTATAAGAAAAAATTAATAAAGAGGAATCATTTATGAAATGCTATGATTGCATCTTCAATTTTAGAGATCCTTAGCTTGCGTTCTATGTTTTGTTTAAGTATAATTTACGTATATAAAGAATGTTTCAATTTCGTTTGAACAAGACTGCGTTCAGGACACTGCAGCCTAAACGCAAATCCAAGTTAATACCGACACCCAACTGCCAGTGTGGCTCAGATAACCAGGACCTGAATCACTGTAGCGGCCTAGAGTCCCTCGAGTACGAGTTTCGAACACCGACTTGTACAAGCCGCAAGTAGCTGTGCGCCTAGCGTCGAAGTCTAACGATATTCGATGTTAAGCAAACAGAGTGCGGAACACCGCTAGGATGGGTGACACCGTCTAGCCTAGCGAGTAGTTAGAACAAGCGGTCTGGGGTTAAGGGGTCGCTGCCCCACTGATGAGTCTAGACAGCGACTCTGAGACGAAACGCACAACCTTTCCTCACCCTACCCATTACCTTCACAAATCCGACATTCGTTCCAAATCCTTCATCCTCGCACTAAAATACTATAGTTACTTTTCAAACCCTTCACCACATACTCTGGCAGTGCATCTCTACGAATGAGGAAGAAGACACCATGACCAACCGCCTTCAACAAAATGGATGGCAGCTTTCTCTAACAATAGACTGCATCATCGCCAA